GGATGGGAGAAAGATGTCTGTTCCCTATCAGGCTGGAATGGACACAGGATTATCTTACTTTATGATCAAATTATGCATTTACTGGGACGTGATAACAGTGTCTTTGTAATTTTACAGCCTAGCGAGACTTGTAAAGGTCTTCCTGCCTTAAACACAAAACCTTGTTCTCACTTCCAGAATAATAGGTTTTACCTCAGTGCTCCCTTCCCTCCAAAAAGCAAGTAGTCAAACGAGTTCACATGGATATTCAAATACTTGCATGCTCCCGTCCAGGTGCCAGTTCAGGTGAATCTTCTATTCTGATTTGGGAAATGGCTGCGTGGAGCGAGCTGGTCCTCCCATGGGATGACTCCCAGTGAGAAGTGAGGTCCAGAGAGTGGTCTGAACTCGTGAACCTCAGCATCCTTTCCTCAAGCCTTTGCCTGCTGCTAACTTGGCCCCTTAGGAATCTGTCTTAACTCCATAAGCTATTCTCGAGTGTCTGGTACAGGTTCCAGAGCACAGCATTCTCAGCTACCTGTTCAGCCTCCAGATTCCTTCTTGCATTCACTCACCCTCCCCTCCAGGCCTTTGCACAGGCCACTCTCTCTGCCTGGAACATATACTCTGTCTTTTTCACCTGGCTAACCTCACCTGATCCTTCAAGACTCCTCAGGTGTCATCTCCTCCAAGGGGCCTCATTCGACAGTGTCTCCTCCCCTCCATGTCCACGGGCATTGGGAAGCCCCTCTGCATCCTCCCAATAGCGCTCTTTGATTCTCTCACCCACAGCATTTGTCCTGTCTTGGTTACCTGTCCTAACTCTCCCAACAGACTGAACACCTCTTGAGAAGGTACCTTGACATATTCATCTTGGTTTCACCACTATCCAGGAGAGTGCCTGGCACACAGAGGTCAATAAAGGTTTACTGAATGAACCTTTAGGGCATGATTCAGAAAATAAGAAAAGAAGCGTCAGAAATCCCAAGGCATCAACCAAGCTATATGTTCTAGAACATTCTTCCTCTCCTCCTGTCACCCTGGCTCTCCTGCCCCAACAGCAGTCAGGACAGGTAACCTTATGACTGTTTACGTGCTCTTTCGTCAATCTTCTTTTTTTTCAGGTATGCTCTTACTGCCACTTCCTCAGACGCTTTCCCTGACCACCCAATCCAAAGTGACCTCAGTCACTTGATTATACATCAGTGTATTTTAATTTGCTACACAGCACTTATTGCTAGTGTTAACATTTTCTCTCTGTGTTTGTTTAATTATTTTTTCTCTCCACCACTAGACTGTAGGCTCCATGTGAGCAGGGACCTTGTCTGTTCACGGTTGTATGCCCTGCACCTAGCACAGAGTGTGCCACACAGCAAAGTGTTTATTAAATATTTGTTAAATGAATCCATGCTATTGTTACTGCATTCTAATTTGATGTATGTCTTCTGTCTTTGCCGTTGGATTAGGTACTCCAGAGAAACTCAGAAGGGTCTCCCTCATGGCATTGGAAAGTAGGAGGGCGACCTCAGTTCCCTTCCTAGGCCAAGGTGGGGTATGCTGCCTGCCTACAGCTCCCTTGAGGCCAGGCACTGAGGAATCTCAGCTCATGTGTCTGCAGTTCCCAGATGCTGGAAATGCTCCTCCAGCTTTCTGTGAGAGCAGCTGTAGCTGCCCATTGCCCAGAATGACAGAGGAAAAGTGCCAGGGCTCCTAGCTGGCGTGACACCCAGCAGGAAGCAGGCACAGTGGCCAGCACACTGAGGAGAGAGGTCTTCCTTTCCCCATATCACCACCCCGAGACTGCACGTAGCTGCCCAGCCGGGTCCAGAAACTGGCCCTGCCCCACATAGCTGGGCAGCATGGCTCTCTGGCTCTGCTGTGGAACAGGGCTAGCCTTGAGAAGGTGTGGCCTCGCTCCTGCCCCTCCCAGGTCTGTAGAAATTGCTCTGCCAGCCCAGTGGAGGAGCAGGCCTGAAGTCTCTCACCAGCCCTGGCCCTTCCTTGAAGTCCTCTAGTTTACTGGAAATCATAAACCTGTGAGAGACAGCCTTTATCACGCCCTGAACAGTGCACTCTTAATATTTAACAACAGATGCTGAAACAACCAGGGACGCTGGCCTCCTGGTTACTCCCAGTTACTGATATTTGCACCTGGTAACTGAGGTCAGATTTGCTTCTCTTAAGTCATATGATTTGCCTCAAGGCAGGAAGGTTCAGGGGCCACTTGTTGCAAAGGGACCCCGAGGTGATCACAGAAACGCTGCAAACCAGCTTCAGCAGCAAAGGCTGTGCTTTCCAGGGAACCAGCCCTGGGAGCACGAAGCTCAGCTGGCAGCTGGTAAATGACCCAAGTAGGGCCTAATCCCCAACAGTTCACTCAGAGCAAGTTTAGGACACCTTCTTCCCTCTAAGACACCTGCTGAATGAAGCCACTTTGAATCCTTTCTGGAATAGGGTGGGACATTAATTAATTAACAAACTAATTAAGCATATTGAATAGGCCACCCAGAAGATCCTGGTCACTTAAAGTTCTCCAAATCACCGTATAGGCCCCACCCTATCCAGGCACCTAATCTTGCTCCAAGCTTTGCTTGACCTCAGGTATTTATCTCCTGGTTGTCATGGAAGCTGTCCAGATAAACAGCAACTCAGCCAAGCTGGCTCCTCTGCCAGCCTTGAATCCTTCTGAGAGCAGTGGAGCTCCCTGGTGGCCACTGGTGGCCCTGCCTGCTGGGCTGGAGGCAGCTCTACATCAGCTCATGTCTGAGATCTCTTTCACCTGGCTTTTTGAGGCACACAGTAGGTGCTAAATAAAAGCTTGTTGAATGAAGGCAACCCCAGGGGGTATGTTAGTCAGGCTTCAAGGTCCCTAGATAACCACTCAGTGGCTGCTCATGGCTGGAGCAGATCTATCCCTCCCCATCACCCCAGTCACCCCTGGGACTGCAGGCCAGGCTGAACATGGCCACTCAGCTCCTCAAGTGATCCAGCTGGCCCACAGACCAATTCCCCTGCTCCTGGGCCAGGTGGGTGCAGACCTGTGAGGAAGGAGCCTGCTGTGGTCAGGCAGCTTGGGTGGAGAGCAGGCGGGGATGGTATCTGGCTGCACCTGCACTGGATGCCACACACCACAGTCAGAATGGCAGAAGGCCCCACCCGCATGCCAGTGCAACATCGCCCTCACTGTCCGCGTGTCTACTTGAGGACTGAGCATACTCTCAAACCGGGTTCCGAACCACTCTCGAAGGATGGACAGATGGCCTTAAGGGGACACTGCAAGGGGACTAAGGAAGAAGTCACTGTTCCTGCAGACCCTGAAATGGCTACCAAAGGAAGATCCGCAATGTTCTTAGGAAAGTTCCTAAAGTAGGACAGACTTTCCCCTCAGGGACACACAGCTCAGTCCAGAAAGGGGGTTACGGGATAAACTAGATTACCTGACCTCTCAGGGCCGCCAAGGTCACCCACTGCCCTGTTTAAGGAGGCAGCAGGGGGCTGAGTTTGGGCTCTGGACTGGACCTGTGAAGGCCGGGTCTGCAGCAGGAAAGCAGTGTAGCCTTAGGTATCGTTTAGCTTCTGCGTTTCTTCATTTGGTTGTTATGTGAATTAAACTGGAGAATATGTGTACAACTTTTAGTATAGCAAACCCGCAATACATTTTATCTATTTAACTATTTTTTCTTTCAAGAACACCGAACTAAACAGAAAAGAAATGGAAATAAATGGAATGGCGTTACACATCAGCAGAAACTTAATTCTCTATCCTGGATAACACAAATGACTGCAAATAGCAATATAGCAAAGAGAGGTTTGAGCTCTCTGGCTCAATCCTTCTAGGCTCCTGAGTCACGGCAGATGCACAGCCTGCATGAGGCTGAGCCACACATGAAAGCTGTTTCCACCCACAGAGTGGTGGAGCCCACTGACATGCTTAATAACAATGACAAGGATGACAAAAATAGCTACCATGGGCCATGCACATGCTAAGGGGTTCACACAGGTTATTTTGTTTAATTCATACTGTAAATCTGTGAGGTAGGTATAGTTGTTCCCATTTTACAGATATAGAAACTGAGAGTTGAAGAGGCTCAATAATTTCATGAGCACCCCCTACCCACTCCACCCCACCCCAACACATACATACACACACACAAAGAAGCAGAGCCGGGATTCAAACCCAGGCTTAACTGACTGTGGACTTCTCTACCGTGCTATATCACTGAAGCAAAATTCTAAGTGCTGTCCATTTCCTGGGAAAGACTTCCCACATGGGAAGTCTTTAAATCTACTTTGCCAGAAGCAAGGGCCATCACTGTGTATCTAAGACCAGTGGCAACTGTCCTCAGGTGACAGGGTGACCAGGGCAGCTGGAAAGGGCATCAGCCACCCCTGCCCCAGAGGGCAAAAGTCAGGTTTCTTTTTCTAAATGGGCTTAGGGAGACTCCTCCCACACGCAGGTCCCAGGCCTGAGCCACAGAGTCCTGCCACAGGAGTGAGGGCCCAGCTTTGCTCAGGATGGAGAGTTCTAGAGTACCCACCTGCCACGTGCATGCTTGTCTCAGCCCCCTCCCCACTCCAGGCCAGGTTCCTGAGATACCCCAGGGGTGGACCGCAGGACCTGGCCAGCACCAGGCGTGGGTTGGGGAAAGGAGGACTGGAAGCACACCACCCTCAGGCCCCTCTACCTCTCAAAAACAAAGAGGGATGCCCCTCCCTGAGGGCCTCTTAATGCCTAGGATTGAGGGTCCTGTGTGTTGAGGAGCCCTATCCCCCAATCCCCTACAAAAGCCAGATCCAGCTGCCAAAGGGCTATGCTCTGACACAATCCTCCGTGTATATTAACATTTTCTCCCAGAGACCAAAAGGAATCCTGGGGAGAGAGCACTGGCCTGGGACTCCATGAGCCCTGGCTCCCATTCCAGGCTTTGCCTCTAACTCTCCACATGACCTTAAGCAAGTCACTTAACCTCCCTGGTCTAGGCTTTCCTTCCTGTTAAATGGGAATAATTACACATACTCACCACCGCAGCTGACGTTCACCGAGGTTCCACTCTGAGCCGGGCCCTACGCAGGATGCATCATCACATTGATTCTCAGAGTGCCCGTTGAGGTAGGTAGGTATCATTTTCAGTCCTATTTTCAGATGAGGAAACTGTGAACGAACAGGGAAATTAGGGGACCTGCCCACAGTCACACAGTTAATAAAGGTGGACCTGGCTCTCAGTACCCTGTCTGTTTTTCCAAGCTCTTAACCACTGTGACATACGGAGCTATTTTATAAAGATCAAGGACAGATGTAGAAGTGTTTTGAAAGCAAAAAAAAGCAGGGGGGGGGAGGGTTGAATAATACAAATATAAACCTCGACCCCCTGGACATGACTTAAGGAACATTCCTAATCCCTTTAAGAACATTCTGTGGAAACTGTTCAAAGAATCAGAGACCTCCAAGATGGGAAAGACCCTCAGTATGTCATTTTTTCCCTTTCTCCCTCCTTTCCTTTGGGCAGGAATGCTATGACTAGCCAAATTCTACATGTAAGACCAGAGAGGTCAAGCAAGGGTGACTATCGTAGGCCCTCAGCTGGCAGGTGAGGAGGGAGACAGAACCGGCCTCCTGGCTCCTGGAGGGGGGAGGTAAGGGGGGCAGTGATGATAAAAGGCCCACTTGTGTCAGGGCATAGCCCCTCCAACCAAAATTTGAACATTTTAACGTAATATCCAAGTACATCTTTCCTAACCTTAAAAACATTTTATTTCATGACAAAGTGGGACGATATTCAGTTCTAAATGTAGTTGGTCCTCCCTCTCTCCTCACAAAGCTCTGTATCAGACAGGGCTGAGAGTGGCAGACAACAGAACTAATGGTGCTTAACACTGCCGGAAAAGGGACTAGATAGATGGAAACTGAGTAGATCAAGACTTTCTGGGAGGGCCACAGATTTACAGGCCAACCAGCCAGGAACAATGCCTCAAGCACACCTTAGGGCCAGGCCAAGAACAAAGTCCTATCTTCCTATGGCAGCCATCAAGGCTGCGCCGCCAGCCCCTCCTCCCCTGCAGCCTCTGCTCCTCCCACTCTCCTCCTGGCTCCCTGAGGCGCTGGCCTCCTTGCCCTCCCCAAACAACCCCTTCTCGCTGTGAACTTGCTGTTCCCTCTGCCTGATCACATTCACACTGCTTGCTTCCTGGCTTCGCCCAGGTTTCTGATCGAATACGCCCTCCTCAGAGAAGTCTTCCTGGACTGCCCTGCCACTCTATCCTCTCCCCCTGCTTCAGTCTTCCTCATAGCACCTACTGCTCCCTGACATCGTACTGAGCATTTTCTATCTCCCAGACGGGACCGTAAGCTCCATGAGGGCAGGAACTTGGGTTGTTTTGTTTGTTGCTGTAAGCGCATGGCCCAGAGCAGGGCCTGGTACATTTTAGGAGCTTCACTATTTGCTGAATACTCTGTGAAGGAATGAACGAAGGAACAAATGGAAAACTCCAGTACACACCGAGTCCTCACGTTCTCCAGCTGCACTGGAGGATTAGGGCAGGAACAAGAGTCAACTTGTGCCACGGCTGCGGCTGTGCTGTCAACCCTGCCCCGATTGCGATCAGCCCTGCGGCTCCCACTTTGGAGGGAAGACTTGTCCAGGGACCTACAGCTCTAAAACTCCCCTGACAGACCCTGGAGCTCTTAGACCTTGTCTGGACTGTTGCCGTGCAGACCATGGAGGCCTGGTCAGGTTCCTGCCCCTGCTTTCCCTAAGCCCCAGATAGGTTGAGAAGTGACTAACCAAAGTCCCTGTTCCCCTCCTAACCGGTTCAGCCCAGGGAGTGACACTGACAAACAGTTGCTCAGTCATGTATAGACCCACAGGGTCACACGAGGTCAGAGCTGGGTGAAGCCTTGGTGATCCAAAGACCAACCTGTGCTCTGCAGATAACACAGGCCAGGGCAGGGGAGAGCGTGTGTGTGGACTCCGCGGTCTGGCAGAGCCAACCTCCACCAGACATGTGACCTTGGAGAATTACTGGAAAAGATAATATTTGAAAAGCACTGCTTTTCTCAGGTGTAAAATGGAAATAAAAGACTCTACTTTAAACAGGAAGCTTGACCTCTTGTTCAAAAGTCTTTATTTCCTAATCTTTATGGTGTTAAAGTCAAACTCCTTGACTTGATAGTTCAATCCCACTAGCACCCAAATCAAAAACCCCACCGACCCCTTGTGATCCCTCCGGACTCCTCCCCACACTCCTGCTCCTTCTCACACCCCTGTGCCCGGAACCATCACTGCCTTCTTTTCTTCCACCCCAGCTTACTACAGCCCTAAAGGCAGGCCTCACAGAGTCCTCCCTGACTCGGGCTTTTCTGGGCCCTCACACTGGACACTCAGTGGTGTAAATGGTGTGTGTTAATAGGCAGGAGCAAAGTTTTGACTCTCCAACCAGAACGTGGGATCCTTGAGGGCAACTGTTTCTTCTCTTATGATGTCTCCCCACACTAAGCATTAAATAATACATAAAAATTCCTGCTGACTGATTCACCTGAAGTTAGAATTCAGCTAAAATGCCCCCAAATACTTCCTCTACTTCCCAAGGGAAGGAAAATGAAGATATAGAAATAAATTAAATTGAAGACAAACTCAAATCACTCCTATTTCTGTGTGCCTGGTCTGTGTGGAAAAAAAAATCATCTCTATCTCCAACCCAGACTTGATGAGTAGAGGAACTCCCTAAAAACAATACATAGAATAAATCACAAGGACTAGCCTCACTTAAAAATTTCAGGAAGGAAAACACAGTTAAACTGAAAACTGTTAACTGATATTTTAAAAAAAAACACAACAAACAGCCCGGAAATGTTTTTAGGACTATGTCTATCAAAGTCCCTTAGGCGCTGATTCATCCTTCAACACATTCTTCCTAACACCTGCTTTTACTAAAAACCAACAGCCCAACACCAGAACTTTATGAGTCAGACGCAGAGTGAAACTGGACACAGAGGTACTCAGCCGTGACGAACATCACCCAGATAGCGAGCAACAGCCACACTAGGTATTACCAGCCAGTGCCCTGTGGCCATGAGCGTGGGCCATAGAGAAGCTGAACCAACAGCAGATGGGTGTCCACACCACCCACATTCTCCTCCTGCCTTATTCCTCTCTCTGGTCCATGCCTCTGCTTCCCCCACCCGCCTGCTAAATACATCTGGAAGAAAGTCTTGTACAACCCTTCACCCAAACTAATTCCACATTATTTCAAGTGAGACCTCAGGACCAACACATATTTCTTTCTTATTTTTTTTTTTTTAAAGATTTTATTTTTTCCTTTTCCTCCCAAAGCCCCCGGGTGCATAGTTGTATATTTTTAGTTGTGGGTCCTTCTGGTTGTGGCATGGGGGATACCACCTCAGCGTGGCTTGATAAGCGGTGCCATGTCCATGCCCCGGATCCGAACCGTGGAAACCCCAGGCCGCCAAAGTGGAGCACGCAAACTTAACCACTTGGCCATGGGGCCGGCCCCCTCTTTCTTATGTTTTTTAAACAAGAATATTAAAAGGCAGAATTTAGAAAACTCAAGTGATATGGAGAAGATTCGATCTACTATCTTTTGATTTTAACCTCACGTTAGACAATCTTTTTGAATACAATTCCACATCTACACAAACAAGTAAATTTTCCCTTTAAATTTCAAACAACATCAACTTAGTCCTCTTCCTCTCTTGGATTTTTAAAAACAAGACTTGCTCATTACAGCTTACAAGGTCACAAAACACAATCAGAGTCTACACAAAAACCTGTACACAAAAATGTTCATGGCAGCATTATTCACAATAGTCAAAACATGTAAACAACCCAAATGTCCATCAAATGATGAATGAATAAACAAAATGTGGTATGCCCATACAATGGAATATTATTCAGCAATGAAAAGGAATGGGGTACTGACACATGCTACAACATGGCCAAACCTTGAAAACACCATGCTAAGCGAAAGAAGCCAGATACAAAAGACCACATACTGTATGGTCTATTTATATGATATCCAGGATAGGCAAATCCAGAGACAGAAAGTAGATGAGTGGTGGCCAGGGGCTGGGGAAAATGGGGAGGTTGGGGAGGCGGTGATAATTTAGGGGTACAGAGTTTCTTTTGGGGGTAATGAAAATCTTCTAAAATTGACTGTGGTAATGGATACACAATTCTGTGAATACACTAGAAATCACTGAATCGTACATTTTAAATGGGTGAATTGTATGGTATGAGAATTATGTCTCAATAAGATTGTTAAAAAAAAAAGGATAAGAAAATAATACCCCACAATCACAAGTTAGTGACCTGTTTGTGAGAGTGACTATCGTGTGAGTCTATCAGTCTGTGACATCCACAGTTAACGTGTCCTTGAGGCAATTTGTCCTGAGTGGCCAGAGAGGAAGTGCCCCAAAACAGAGCTCAGGAAGGTGTCCCCAGGATAAAGGATAGCTTTTCTTTCACTGACCACAGTTTTAACGATAATATTTTAAAACGTTCAGATATCAGCAGGCACTCATGGGTGACCTGGTTTATAAAATAATGGACGTTGACAACAATTTAGACTTTGGTTGCATCAGCTATCAGAACTGGGGTGAGACAGCGTCACGCTCAGGGAGCTTAGGGTTCATCAGTGTGCGTGTCCTCGAACAGGTCACCGAATCTTCTGGGCTCAGAGGGAGACTTTTCAAATTTTTCAAATAAAACTTTTCTAATTTATGGAGGTTACAGGTCCTTCAAATGAACAACAAAACTGCCTTGCATTAACTGGTACACATAGTGATGCACATAAGGCAAACAGCTATAAAGGAATATTTTACTAGTGCGTACCCAGGAGTCAGGTTAAATGAAATAAGAAAAAAAATAGTACTGTGTAAAGTTAGGATAGTAAATTTAGAAATAGTAGTTGTTTGGGGATTATAATTTTGTTTCCACTAATTTCACTTTGTTCCCTTTCCAGGTCTACAAGAACAAATGTGATTCATCTTCTACCCAGAGGTGGCCAGCCTCACTTTCTGATAAGAGGCAAGAGCTACAGAGACCTTGGGCTGCCACCCTGGCTTCCTACATTTAGCTCTGTAAGTAACTGAATCTCTGCGCCTTGGTTTCCATATTTGTAACAAAGGAATAATATCACCTATTGGACAGGTTTTTGTGGGGATTGAATGAGATGTAAACTGTGGAGAAAGTGCCTGACACACAGAGGCTCGGGGCAAAGCTGGCACAGGTTGTGGTGAAGGACAGGGGGTCATCAAGCTCCCTGCAAAGAAAGACTCGTGACGCTGAGGGAAGATGTCACAGAATCCTAAAGGGGCTACAGCTAAGGGAAGGACATCGCCAAGCCCAGCAGGTGCTGAAAATCAGGGAGGATCTTTGCAAGATTCCTCGTTAGAACACCAAGAAGTTGTGTGGTTGCCCTTAGCATTAAGGACAGACAGTACCCTTATTCCCAAACATGAAACTTAGAATTATTGTCTGTTGAGGGCAAAGCTAACAAATTGGGTCAAAATAGAAGAGAAACAATCCCCACTCAACTGCTCAGATTGCAGCACAAATAGGGTCTCAGGATCAATAAGCTAGGCTGTGAAATGACCAGCTGTGGGAGGAGGGGAGGGTCAGAGGGAGAAGCCCACCAAGACGGCTGTGAGGTCTAGGTGAGCAGAAGGAAACCCTGAGTTCTGCCAGGCCAGGGCTGGCTCTCTGGTGGTACGTGAACAGCCCACCTTGTGAGCAACTGGAAGAAAGACCACAAGGCCCATGCAGAGAACACCTTACACTTCCGGCTCCCCACACACTTGTTGAATTAAAGGGAACTGTTCTGGGTGGGTACCGCCTCCCTGGATGGCAAAGGGGATGGGCCCCAGGTGTAGACGGGAAGGACACCACACTCACAGCACAGAGGTTGCTCCCTTGCCCCTCATTCCCTCTGCAACATTCTAGTAATACTTCTGGCTTCACTGCTATTGTTCTGTGGGTTTTTTTAGATTTTTTTTTTTAATTTTTCCTTTTTCTCCCCAAAGCCCCCTGGTATATAGTTGTGTATTTTCAGTTGTGGGTCCTTCTAGTTGTGGCATGTGGGACGCTGCCTCAGCGTGGCTGGATGAGCAGTGCCATGTCCGCGCCCAGGATCTGAACCCGAGAAACCCTGGGCCGCCGAAGCAGAGCACGTGAACTTAACCACTCGGTCACGGGCCAGCCCCACTGCTGTTGTTTTTTATTTTTGTAAACAAAACTGTAAAAATCAACAAACCACCTCAAAATCAAATACATGTGATTTACACCGATTCCTATACTGAAAAAACAAATAATGTAGAACAAATAAGAGGAAAACTCTGGTCAAGCTCTAAACTCACCCATGGCTGGTGGCTGAGTTTCACGTCTCCAGAAGGGAGACCATTTTCTCCATTCTCTGCAGTCCAGCCTCAGGACTGCCTGGAGTTCAGAGAAGCCCAGGAGGTGCTGCCACCTGCAGGCAAAACAAGAAAAAGTACAAGCTATGGCCCAAATCACTCACCTGAAGCCGGGAGCCTGGGCCTGTCATCAGGCAGCTGGAAGACCTCAGTCCCGTCCTGGTGCGAGAGCCAGGAGAACTCACTCAGTTCTGTGCTTGGGATCCTACCACAGAGCTGCAGCAGACGTAGTCAGCAAAAATTCTAAACTATCAAGGGCTCAAGCATTTCTTAACAACAACAGCAAACTCTTACACAGGGCTCACCATGTGCCAGACACTGCTCTAAATGATTTACATTTACTAACTCATTAGTCCTCACAAAAACAGGTGACTATTTTAGAAGGTCTCTGCCAATTTGCCTGATTATTGAGTTAGGCTGAATAATTAAAATGAAGAACTTGACAATATTTGATTTCAAAGAGGGGTAAGATATGAAAACTCCATGAGAGATTCTGAGCATCCTGCAGACCATTCATTCCCCAAATATTTATAAGTGCCCGTTAGGCACCAGACGCTCTAAGACCTGGGAAGAGAGGCGTGAACCCAAAAGACAAAGCCCCTGTTCTCGTGGAGCTTCCGTTCTGTTGGAGGGAGGTGATAATGGAAGAGGTGATAAATGCTGTGCAGAAGAAAAAGCAGGGTGAAGGGGACAGGGAGTGACGACAATGCTATTAATATTCATTCTTTCTTTCTTTCCCAAGTACTTACTAAGCATCTACCACAAGCCAGGCCCTGTGCAAAACGGGCAAAAATAGACATGGTCCCTGCCCATATGGAATACTTACATAGGAGAAGCATATATTAATCAAATGGTCACCTGAATAAATGCAAAGATGTTAACCTGTGGTAAGTATGATAGCAGAATGGCACAGGTCTCTGACCTTGTCTGGAGCCTCAGGAAGGACTGGGATGAAGCATGGGGAGGAAGAGCATCCTTGGTAAAAAGCACACCACGTGCACAGGCTGGATTGTGGACAGCAAGCCAGAGGTGGAATGGGGAGAAAGGAGGCAGGGGGAGGTGGAGAACGGGAGTGAGCAGCCCTTTCATGGCACTCCCAGCCACAAGAGGTCTTTATCCTCTGAGAACTAGAGCATCACACAGGGTCTTAGGCAAAGGAGTAATGTGGTTGGATGTGTGTCAGTGTGTGTGTGTTTTTTTTAAGGCAACCTTTTTTTTTTTTGGTGAGCAAGATTGGCCCTGAGCTAACATCTGTTGCCAATCTTCTTTTTTTTTTTTCTCCCCAAAGCCCCAGTACATAGTTGTATATCCTAGTTGTAAGCCATTCTAGTTCTTCTATGTGGGATGCTGCCACAGCATGGCTTGATGAACAGTGAGGAGGTCCACACCCAGGATCTGAACTAGAGCATGCGAACTTAACCACTTGGCCGCAGGGCTGGCCCCGGATGCGTGTGTTTTGAAAAGATTACACTATGTGGCAGGCTGAATAATGGCCCTGACAAAGATGTTGATGTCTGAGTTCCCAGAAGCTGTGAATATGTTCCCTTACATGGAAGGGATATTGTCGATGTGATTAAGTTAAGAACCTTGGGATGGGGAGAGTATCCTGGATTATCCAGGTGGGCCCAATGTAATCACAAGGGTCCTGATAAGAGGGAGGCAGAGGGAGATCTGACTACAGAAGAGGAGTGTCAGACGGATGCAGCATGAGAAACACTTGTTGGTTTTAAAGATGGAGGAAAGGGCCGTGTGCCAAGAAATGCAGGAAGCCTCTAGAAGCTGGAAAAAGCAATGAAATGATTTTCTTCCAGAGCCTCCAGAAGAACACAGACTTGCTGAAATCTTGATTTTAGGACTTCTGACCTTCAGAACTGTAAAATAATAAATTTGTGTTGTTTCAAGCCACTAATTTTGTGGTGATTGGTTACAGCAGTAATAGGCGACTAATACACACTGGCTTCTGTGGAAAAACAGACTAGAGGTAAGGGGAAGGGTCGGCAGGGACCAGCTGGAGGTCACCATGTTACCCAGGCAAGAGATGTGAGAGCTTGAACCACAATGGTGGCAGTGGGGGTGGAGAGGAGTTGAAGGACCCCACGAGGGGAGGAGTCGGCCAGTCAAATGTCTTGCTGCAACCTGGTGGATATTGCTGGAATGCCACAGCAGGACTCTCTCAGGCTCAGGACCTGGCTAGCTCACCCTGGGCAGAGCCCAGCATCCTTTGCAGGAGAAGTAAGCTCACACCAGGGCTGTAGGACCACTCCCAGAGAGAGACACCATTTACTCACTTACCAGGGACCTGCCAACCCCATTCACACAAAGGAGCCCAGGGTTTCCAGGAACAAGCTCTAAGAAGTAACATCCTGGGAATTTATATTAGGCAAAAGGTAGCAATTATTTTTTCCAAGCATTAGGCCTTGCAGTGAACATTTTTTTCTTCCTAAAAGAGAGATTTTGTAATGCTGGAAAGGAGGCATCCAAATTTAAATCTGCACATCTCCAGCCTAGGTGATGCAGAACCACGATTATATACAACATGAAATCTCATGGTCACTAGAATACTGCAGAAATTAAAGAAAGAGAACAAATGAGAAACTAGGAGACCCTCTCTTAGCATCTACTCTATTTCTATTTAATGATTCAGATCTACTGAAAAAGTGGGATCTTAATTTGGTCCTGCCTAATAGGGCTGTTGAGAAGAAAAGGCAACAAAAATTATTTCAAAGAATTTTAGATATATTGACCCTATTTTACTCCAAAAGTATAACTATACACCCACCAAGACCAAATACCTTGGAGTGTACTGAGGGGTGACAGGGAATTATAAAGGGCACCATCCCCCATGGCTTTGCAGCGGGCCACCGGGACCTAACTGGATTCTAGGAGCATGTAAGGAGCTGCAGATGCAAAATACCAGGCAGCCCTGTTACGGCTGGAACAGGTTAATTAAAAAATAGACATATGTATGTATTGTTTTTCTGGTGACAAAAGTGACATATGTTTATTATTAGAGAACACAAAAATCTCCTGTAGTCCCAACCATCCAGAGATAACTTATTTGGAAATACTTTCTTCTAATCTTTTTTCCAATAACTTCAGTATATAGAGTGTATAAATATGTAGCTATATAGATATATATACTTTCTTCTTAACTTTCTTTCTTGTGTATATTTTCCTTTTGCAACCAGTTTTGTTTTATTTAATAGTATATAATTTTTCCATGTCATTAAATATACTTTTTAAATAGTTGGCAGTATTCCATCATAGGAAGGTATCAAAATCACTGAACCAATCCCTTATTGCTGGAAAACTGAGTGGTTTCTAACTTTCTGATAACAGAAGTCACACTGGGAGGAACAACCCCATAAAGAACACCCCCATTTAACATCTGTGTCTAAAGCTTGATTATTCCTTAGGGTCACGTTTCGCACATTTCAGTCATTCATACATCACCATTACTAATTCACCGTTATTAAATACATCCGTATTTACCATGTCTCTGTAAATCAACTCATTTTTGTCCTTAAATAAATGTATTTTAAAAACCAACCTTACTCACTATCGCAAATGGGAAACTAGCATCCTATGTGCTCAATGAAAGCAACAGTAAAAATAAACACAATGGAAAACAAAACAGCATAGCGAAAATATAGGTTAGATACTGCTGCCCCTTTGCTTATTGTTTTATATCAAAAAGGAGATTAGAAAAGCTTAGAGAAATGTTCAAGACATACTAGCACCACGCTAAGATTTTTCTTCTTCCCACGATCAAAAGATGGACAAGGAATTGAGCAGGGCAATAACTTTCTCACTGCGTGAGTCAGTGTCAGACGATGCTGCAAATGTGCTTCACCTAGAATTACCCTGTGCCACCTGTAATAACCTCACGTGGGAAACACGTCTTAGGATATAGTCCTGAAAGTAGAATTATTGGGATAAAAGTTTTGGACACTTTAAGAAGATTTTGCTAAACACCATCCAAGTTAGTTTTACCATAGTTTTACTACGAGAGTGCCCACTGTACTTCACCCTCAATACTGAGAGTTATAAACTAAAATGTTAAGCTTTTTAGTGTAAACTATTCAGCAGCTGAATTTCCAAAGCTATTTTCATACTCCTGCCAGTCTCTGACCCTGGGGCAAGGCCATTACATGAACCTTCAGCTAGTGGTAAGTTTAAACAAAGTGATATTGCGCTTGGTTTAACCAAGCTAAAGTAAACTCAGCAAAACATGAGGAAGTGACTTTAGCATTTGCAAATATTTCAGAATGTTTCTTTGCCAGCAAAGGTCAAATGAGGATCAGAATAGCATGGATTCCAAAGTACGCTTTTGAGAAATAAGAGACCCAGAGAAGCACTACTCATGAGACACAACTCACTATAAATTTTCAGCAAATCAATGAAAACTAAAAGAAACACACGGTGAAGCCTTCCTATCCTGGCGTGATAGGCAATTGCACAAATAGGCTACAGATCAATGCAACTGTTAAGAAAATATTTCTAAAATAGAAAAAGGAAAGTGTATTTTGAAGCAAGCATGGAAAGTTAATAATAGGAAGCTTCCAGATTATTTCAATAATTCCTGGGCAGACACTCATTAGCGTGTGGGCCTGTGGGGGAAAAGTGGGGAAGGAGAAGAGAATTAAAAACATGCTAAAAAGTTTCTTATGTTTGGAAGGAGCTTAGAGATTCTGATTAATTTTTGACATTTATAGGGAAATAGTTTATCTACACTTAAGAACTTAATGAAGGCTCCTAGTAAGATACAGAATTCCAAGTCACTAAATAAAAAGAAGGTAGGAATGGGGACAAAGACACTTTGATGAATCCAGAAGAAGTCACAAGAAAAAAAAAAGGAAGAACTCATGATAACTATATGACAAAACAAGATGTCAGAAATAAGGTCACAGGGCCAGCCCAGTGGCACAGCGGTTAAGTTCGCACAGTCTACTTCGGCGGCCCGGGGTTCACCAGTTTGGATCCCAGGTGTGGACAAGGCACCACCTGTCAAGCCATGCTGTGGCAGGCATCCCACATATAAAGAGGAGGAAGATGG